CGTAGTATACATTAGTTAAACTCTTTAGTTCAAGATTTAGTGTAAAAGATTCATTTGATCAATCGTGTAAATAATTCAATACCTAATAATTTTAAATTAAATAAGGGTATATGTATCGAATTTATTCAAGGATATAATAAGGATGTAAGTAAAATAAATATGAACATAAAATAATATAAAGAAACTCTAGATAAAATAAAATCTTAGACAAATCTTAAAAATTAAACATACATCAAAGTAAATACTATATTTATTTCCATCTCATGCGAACAACCTCAAATATTTTTGTGAAAAATCATCTCAAATTGAATTTTAAATCAAAATATTACTTATAACATATTTGGCCAAATTTGTATAGAAATAAAAGAGAGTGTGTGTGGGGTGGGGGTGGGGGGTTAAACTCTTTTTCTTTTTTCATATCGAGTAGTTGATTGTTGAAGTGTGTAGTAAAAATCTCAATCAATGCAAAAGTACATAATTTTTAAAAGTAAAATGATATCATATATTTTTACATTGATTGAAATCTAATGTGAATTTTAGTTCACTTCCCTTAGGTTTAAAGGTGTTCTTTGTAAGATCGTTATAATTTATTTTTGTACAGTAATAATAGAGTGTATAACTATTTTGTCTATATTCAATTTTTTCTTATAATGTCTCACCGACAAATTTATCTTCCTTTCTCTCTTTGAATAGTAACAAATATAATGTGAAATACAACCTTATTGACAATATAACAAATGAGCTTCAGAAGATTTAGATAAAAATATATATCTTGCTTTCTTTCTTTGACAGAGTTTAAATAGGCTTGTGAGTTGCTCGTTGATGTTCTTGAGAAAGATAACTTCAAGAGATTTGATCGTTGAAAAAATGAATTTGGTTGATCTTTTTCGAAAAAAAGTTTAATATTTACCTATAAAGCAATTGGGATGATTTTTAATTTGATTTGCTGGTATTTGTTGTCTTTTAGTATTTTGAAAAAACTTGAGATTTTGGTGCTTATTTCGGCTCTTCTTAATTGTTGTCCTAACATCTTAATCTTCAATAAATATGATTATTTTGCTTGCGTGTGAATCCTTAATTAGGTCTTTCTTCTTACCTTGATGTTTATTGATTGTGATAGATTATATGCGTCCACTAACAGTCAACGGACCAGGTCCCTTGACTCAACAAGAACAATAATGAAGAATAAACAATGAAAAGAAAACAACACAAGCAGTTTACGTGGAAACCTCCTTGCCCAAGGGAGTAAAATCACGATCTGTCACATAGGATTTTCAACTGTTTTCACTAATCTCTTCATGCAAAAGTGAAACACAGATTACAACCCCAAACGAGATTAACCTCTTAATCTCAAAGCTAAGTAATAACCCTATTACTTACTGAGCCTAAGCAGATACAACACTGCCCACTAAATCATCTAGTTCCTTGATGATTTAGAATTTGACTAAGCAGATACAACACTGCCCACTAAATCAGTTAACTATAATTGATTTAGACTTTTACAAACATAACAAAAGATCTGATTCATTTATAGATTAGGAACATATTTACAATGTAAGCACTGAAGTATAACGCCTAAGACAACTATGACACTTGCAGCTCTATCAGGTCCCTGTTGCGCTTTTGGAGAATACTTCACCGAGATAGGTCTTTGCTTGTGTTCTTGAGAATTTTCAAGATGCAAAAACTGAGGCTGTGTCTATTGAAAATGACCTTTATGAATAATAGACACAACCTTCAAGGCCATGCTATTGGCCGAGGTTTCTGCCATAGTTGGAGACTGTGCACCAACCAATTATACTTTTTACAGCCTGCCAATTGTATACACATCGATACAAGGAGCAGGTCCCTTCACAAGATCCCATGGTTTGTAAAATCATCAAAACTACAAATAACATATCGTTTCTCAAAAAATGAGTATTAGAAGATATCTATTTATTTTGTTCTCCTTGAGTTTCTCATTTTTTTGTTTGCACATGTAATCAAACATTTATATTATTTCTGTCATCATTTAAGTAGAATCCTAGCATTTTAATTATTTTGAAAAATGCTTTAAAATAATTTTCAATATTTCATATGCAGTAGAAACTGTTTCTATTACTACTAGAGTGACACTGCACTCAAGGTGTTTGATTTTTTCATATGGTCTTTGAACAATATTTTGAGAGTAAGCAAATTTTATCAGACACTACTCTTAAATGTAAGCAATACAAACATCAGGGTCAACCACATTTGGATGGAGAGCATTTCTTCCACCTCCGTCATGGTGCCCCTCCGGTAGGTCAAATTGTTCTTAAAATAAATCAGCACCACTAAATGTAAATCAAAATTCATATTAGTTAAAACTATAAAATAATGCACACAATAGTAATTGGAAAGACTTCAGAACGACCACGAGAATTATGAGAGAAATATTCTCAAACTCCTAATGGAAGACCCTTATTTTTTTTATTATATATGTGTCAATTCGAGTGATAAATTGTGGAAATATTTTCAAATCTCATTTTGGTGCATTACAACAATTTCTACTTATACATGACCAGATAACGGACATCATATGAACTGAAATCGAGTCCAGTCTTCAAAATTGGAAGAACACTACTCACAAGTATATGAGCCTGGGTACGTTGTAGTTGCAACACAAGCAATCTACTGATTTTTATAGGAAGTCCATTATTTATCTCACTTAAAATGTATATGATCACGTCACTAGAATGAACTATTCAAATAGTGGTTAATAGATTTTCTTGTGTTGATTGAGGAGGGTACACTCAAACAAAAGTTGCATTGAAGATCAACAAGATGTTTGTTTTGTCCTTGCCAGGTGGGTTGGAGAGATCATTTTAATATTCAATTAATGTATATAGACAATCTTTGTACAAATAGTTTTTAGAGTGGTTATTTCTTATAACGTTTGTATGAATTAACTACGGAAATGGAAGAAATTTAAATGTCCATAGCTAAGTCAATATTAAATTCTCGACTAGTCGTTTGGTAGAGTGTACTGGAGAAAATAATGTTTGCATTAGCTTGATGTATTATTAGTGCCTTATTTGGTACACTTTTCTAACCTATGCATAACTAATGCTTGTATTAGTAATACACTCTATTGTGTATTGAAGAGTGTATTATTAATACCACTATTTCTATGCATTAGTAATGCAATGGGTTCTAATGCATGCATTAACATTATTAAAGATACAATTGCCCTCAAATTTTTTTTTTACATCCTTTCTATTATATTTGTTGAGGGTATTTTTGTAAACAAATATTTTTTCTAAAAAAATTATGTAATGCATAATATTTTTAGTACATCAAACCAAACATTGCGTAACAAAAATCTTATCATAACTAATGCAAAGCATAACTAATACAAGCGTTACTAATGCAAGCATTACTAATACACTATATTTTGCATTATTCTTATACACTCTACCAAACGACCCACTTCACTCCAAAAAAGTTTCGGCGGTTCATGTGCTGGGCTAGTGCGTTAGCATAGGCAGGCCTAATCTAGTCTAACTTATAAATGTGACATTATTGTAGTATTTTCTCCGCCGATTTTTAATTGTTTGTTATTGACTTAACATAATTTAAGGAGTAGTAAATAAAACATTAACTTTATTATATTATCTTTTTATATAATAAATTCAATATTTTGAAAAATAGAATGAGAATAATTATAGTTAATAACAAACATAAATTAAGTTATAAGTAATAAATTATTTTTTAATTTCTCAAATTGAATAAATAAAATTATTTCTATACTTGTCTCAAAAGAAATCATAAATAGTTATACTGCTATAAATCATTTCATTAAGAATTTTAAATATGTTTAAATTGATAGAGTAATAAATATAAACATATTTTTACATTTTTTTAACGTAAAATACTATAAGTTATGACTTAAAATAATTAAAAATTATATAAGAAAATTGAGTGACTCTCCAAATTTCATCCATGCCACATAAATTAGGACAAAAGGAGTAACATATTATTTAAAAATTATATAAATTCTATAAATCACAATAATTAACAACTTAATATGTAAAAAAATTGGGTGACTTCCCAAATTTCATTTTTGCTATATAAACTACGACAAAATAAGTAACATATGTTGGGCCGTACTGACACAAGCTCACATAACTAGTATACATAGGTGAGCTTAAAGTATCAATTGCATAACATCATAAATTCTTTACGTAAGATGATTCATTGCTATGACTAATGTCTATTTTTCAACATGTTTTATGAATATTTTGGGCAATAATCCTTTTCTTCAAAGGATCAACAATCATAAGTTTGACGTTAATATATATTATTGACATTTTACATTTCTTTATTTTCTTTTTAATGGTGAAGTATTTTCATTTCATATGCTTAATATATCTTAATATAAATTGGCTAGTGAGTGCCGGCTTTTCAAAAAGATATTTGGATCTATCCTTGTCAACAGGAGAAGGGAATAGGCATTGAGGGTAATGCGGAGCCTCTGCCTAGCCCACACCAAGGTGAGACACGTCTTTTTCAAGGTCGAATACGACGACTCGTAGTCCGTCAGTTTATTTCTCAGGTAGTAATCTTTTCTTTCTTCCCCTTTCATCATGATAGAATAAATTATACCATAAAGGTTTACAGAGGACAAAATAAAATAGTTGTATACAATATTTTAATCCATAGAATATTCCTATCTTTTACCTCCACAATCAAATAGGAGTAGTATCTCATCTAAGATATTTAATTTTATAGCTTTTTTTACAAATTTATTTTTATGCATAAATAATTTATTTAAAAAATTCATTTTCTTCATTTCAACTCGTAAGTAGTTGGAATGTGGTGCAGTAGATCAAACTGATCTTTCTTTAATCAGATATTTAAATATGTACGTAGTTAAATATGTTCTGTTCGATACGAATAATTCAATCAAACTTCAATGTAAATACTGAATAATAGATTGAAAATAAAATATAAAATCGAAAGTAGTCATTTTGAGTTTTTAACTCACGTGGTATTTTTCTTCCAAAACTCACCTCGTTCCTAAATCCTAGCACCGCCAGCTTCTGAATCGTTTTCCGGATCAAATGGGCTCCCTCCTCCCCTCAATGTTCCTCATCTGATCTGCAAATCCTTCAATCCCCTACAGATCGAACAATCACTAAATCTCTCTGCGCAAGATCTAGGGTTTTCATCACGTATTCGTCATTCTCACCTTCGTCGGAGAAGATTTCTGGATCTCGCAATTCTAGGGCTCTTCAGATCCAATCGGTTTTTGAATGCGCATGTGAAATTCTCTATGTTTTTTGATAATTGAGGAGCATAGATTGATTTGATCTCGGATCGATTTGTTAGTGTATTGAAAGTTATAATTTTCGGAGATTATTATTGAAAATGCCTGTGAAAGTAGCGAGTGCGTCATTACGGGATAGGACTCAGGAGTTTCAGAGTATAGCGGAGAGGTTAAAGAAGTCATTTTCGTCTGTTCAGAATGGGCCGATTAGCAGCAGCACCAGCAGTGGTTCTAGATCGGAGGAACAGAGGACCACTATTGCTATGCAATCGGAGTTCAATCGGCGAGCCTCCAAAATTGGTTTTGGAATACATCAAACTTCTCAGAAGCTTGCAAAGCTAGCAAAACGTAAGCCAATATTAGGACATCTCTTAGTCTCTCAGATACTTCATTTTGTATTAAGGATTCACTCTATATCCTATTTGTTTGTGAGATTGTACCAAGCCCGGCTAAAAGAGGAAGGGTAGCTGTATGTCGGCAACCAAACTAAAACTAATCAAAATATATCATTAGCCCACTCCAACTAGCTTGATGTTGAGGCATAGTTTTGGAGTTTCTAGTTGTTCTATGTCCCATTTAGTTCTTTGCCATCTTAAATAGTAGCAAACAAATTTGGAATGGAGGAGTATTTCTGTACTCCATTTGTCCCATTATACAACTATTTCAATATTTGGATAACCTTACAATTTCTTGAACATTTTATATCTTTCATAGTAGTTAGTATAGTAATTCTGATTAAATTTCGGATGTGTCAAATTGTATTTTTAAAAAAAACGAAATTACTTGTATTTGGGATCAGTCTGTAGATTAGAGATTTCACATATGGTGCTTCAACACCGTAGTTGGGACACTGGGATTTCTTTTCACAAGTTAAATAGTATAATTAACAGTGGGAAGAAAAATTCCTGATTACAAGAGGTATATCAGAAGTAGAGAACCTACGTCAAAACACGATTCTCTACAACAGCCTCTCAATCCTTTATACAAGTAGGAATACCGAGATTATTAACTTTTTCATTCTAGCAATCATGCGAGTCATCCCACTATGGGAGGAAATATGAAGTCACACTAAACCACACTGCTAAGAAATGTATAATTATGGAGGTTGTGGTTGCATTTGTCGCTCTTGAAGTTATTAAGTTTTGATTAGTGATATGAAGGATTTACAATTTTGTTGCTAATATAAGCTTAATTTAGCTGATGTGAGGTGGCTGGGCTTTAGCCTCTGAGTGTTAGTGTCATAATGTGCATCCAATGAACTTGATGGCTTTTAATTTATTTTTTTTGATAAGGTTGATGGCTTTTAGTTGTAGCACATATAATTCTTCTCCATTACAGAGCGCTTGATGTTCTTTAGAAAAAAGATTCTGAAACACTCACTTGGTGGGATATTCTAGGTGGGGTGATTTTCTCTGAAAAGGTTTCATTCTAATATAAGCTTAATTTAGCTGATGTGAGCTGGGTTTTAGCCTTTGAGTGTTGGGTCATAATGTGCATCCAATGAACTTGATGGTAGCACATATAATTCTTCTCCATTACAGAGCACTTGTTGTTCTTTAGAAAAGAGATTCTGAAACACTCACTTGGTGGGATATTCTAAGTGGGGTGATTTTCTTTGAAAAGGTTTCATTTTTATAGCTTCAGTCCCGGGGTTTAAATGTTCTTTTGATTTCTCTGATTAGAAATCTTCTTCTAAAATTGAGGTTTCTTCTCATTTTTCTGCAAATTTTGGATCAGTAATGAACGTTAGCTGAAATATCGGAGTTCGGATCAAATTTTTCTGGTCTCTGTTCAAAATTCTTTTTATATTGCAGTGACCCATGTATATGTCTGGTAGATTATTTTACCATTTCAGAGGACCAATATCAGTGCACTCTAGGTAATTTTCTTCTTTTCTGGTTAAGTCTTGGTAGATAGGTTATCTGGTACAATGATACGTATGATGGTGGAAGGTAGCAGAACCTGATGGAGTAATTGAGTTGCACATAAGCTGGCTAAGCTGTCCTGATGCCACCATTATTATAAAAAACATGTGTAAAATGATAATCTGGTAAATGACAGTGTTTAACTTGGAATCTTCCATTTTTATGGATTTGCTAAGCATTAGAGTTGTGGAAAAGCAGCTAAGAGCTTTCACAGATGAAAAGCTTTCTTCCAACTTCAGTCCTGTTACTTTCTGGATTTTGAAGTTAGTTGTTTCTTCTAATATGACCTTTCATTTTTCTTATCCAAATCCCATTTAATAGTATTCTGTGAAGAATGGAATACTTTATTCTATGGTGCTTTGAAGTTAATCTTTTTTGTTCTGTTTCTAGATTTGACTTTTACCTTAGTGGTTTGACTTTGCTATCTTTCTTTTACTCCTTGGGTTTTCTTTTTAGCCATTTCAGTATGTTTTGACTATTTGGTCAAATCTTATGCATTTTCCTTCTTATTCAGAAACAACATTCACGCCTAGTTTTATTCAGAATTTCTATGCTTTAAGACATTCCTTTTGCCTATTGAAGTGGCAAAGTCATCAATTTTGGCGTACTAGATTACACAGTTCCCTTACAGGCCCCAGTTATGACCTCCCTTTATATTTTCTCATCATGGGTTCGTGGGGCAGTTCAGTTTGTTGTGTATAATGATTTAAGCACGGTGTTAGAAATTTATGTAAAAGGAAATATACGTGCAAACTTGGGCAATTGATCTTTCTTATGGATGCTAAGGAAATTTGGGTAATGAGATGCTAAATCTGATGTTGCTTGAACTCTTCAAAAATGTCTATGGGTGCGTGTCGGCTTCTCCTAAAGTAGTGTATTTTTGGAGAATCCGACATGGCTGCGGCATTGAAAGTGAAAAGTCCGTGCAACTTAGGCTAAATCTAACCTTCTTCTCAAGTCCTCAAGGACCATAATGGATTTTCTTGTTCAAGTTTATCTCAAATCTAACCTTCTTCTCAAGTCCCTAGATTTCATGTTCCTACTAACCTGACCATTTATGCTTTGGTTTCTTGTCAAACTGTAAAAGAGAGATGTTGCCCTTATTTTATTTTTTAAACATATTATTGGTTTATACCAGGGCCTTGGCTCTTTGACACTTATTTATGTTGTGATTATAATCAGGGCCAAGGTTTCTGATCTTTATCTAATAGTGGCTTATGTTTCATTCCAGTGGCAAAAAGGACTTCCGTTTTTGATGATCCGACTACAGAAATCCAGGAGCTGACTGCAGTCATCAAGCAAGATATTACAGCACTTAACTCTGCTGTAGTAGATCTCCAGCTTCACTCTAATGCTCGTAATGAAAGTGGTAATAGTGATACCACTAGTCACTCGACTACTGTTGTAGATGACTTGAAGAACAGGCTGATGACTGCCACAAAGGAGTTCAAAGAAGTACTCACCATGCGGACAGAGGTGAGACTAGCCAGATGCTGGTTATATCTTCTCTGTTAGCCTGTTTTCTTACTCAAATAGATCTTTTGTGAGTCTCAATTTAGCGAAGGCTTCTATTTACTATTTTTTTGTGGCTACATGTATCCTTCAACTTTTTGGTCGTTAACAGTAGAAAAAACACACTTCATCATGGTCATTTACATTTTCTTGAATTTCTGTTTCCAGAATATGAAGGTTCATGAGAACAGAAGACAGATGTTTTCTTCATCGACTACCAAAGAAGCTTCGAATCCATTTATGCGCCAGCGTCCACTAGCTTCAAGGAATACTGCTAGTACATCAGCCAGCCCTCCTCCTTGGGCTAATGATTCACCTTCCTCTTCTCAGTTATTTCCAAGGTGAGGAAATACACCGTCTTAGCAGTTCATGCCTTACAGGCCTGCTATCACTGAACATATTAGTAGCCATAAGTTTCTTTTGTAATTATGGGAATGTCTTGCTTACTATATTTTTATTTTAATGATTTTAACTAATTCAAAAGAATAGATGAAACTCTAGGAGTCTGTTCTTCTTTCCAACCTTTGCTTTTGGTAATCTTGACATGATTACTGATCTACCTATGTTGATGCCAAAAAGAAATTACAAATGATTCATTTGTTAAAGGTTGAAAGAGAGCTATTCCTCTCGTGGGAATAACCTTTTCAGTCTATGGCCTAATCTGTCTCCCTGAGTTAACTAATGGACAGTCCGTATAATAGCTTCTCCAAACATGATCTATGATAATACTAAGTACCTTTAATTTATCCTCTTTGTCTGATCTGTTACTAAATCCAAATTTTTCTCAACCCCTTTCTTCCATGAAACTTATATTCTTGAATTGGTGAAATTGAATAAGACACACACCTTGTTTGGATGAATGCTGTTTGGTAACAGTTCAAGTGGTCGGAAGTTTTGATCTCTATCTGGTTAAAATGATTGGGGGCTGATCTCCTGGAAGTTTGGTTTCACATGATCTTTTGCTTTAAAATCATGAGAAATTTAAATGGTACACTCCTACCCCTTACCCACAACACACACTATTCTTCCCTTGTCTGTTTCCTCCCATGGGCCTCCTTTTATCATTTCATTATTTATCTTCTATCAGTATACTAAGATTGTATTGTTTACACTCTTTTGACTTATTACCTAGTTACTCTCTAGTTACTCTAACTGCCTGTGTTGGAGCTTTGTGCATTCTTCTCGTGTTGCTATATTTGTTGGTTATCTATTTGATCTTATCTTAATATCTCTCTCCCTCTTTTAATTCTAGCCAAATTTGTATTATTTCAATAAATTTTATAGTTTTAGCCACATTTTTTGTCAAATGGCACAAGTTGATCAAAAAGTATTATATATGTTAGAATACTTGAATATGACAATACTCAGTGATGGTTATTAAGTTTACGGAGTACAAATAACAATGTAGTATAAAGTTAAGTAAAATAGAGGCAGCGGTGGTGGTGTTTGTGCTATGGTCAATAAAGATGACCCCACCACGACAGATGGTGCCCTATAACGTCCAAACGAAGTAGCTGAGGGACACAGGAGTGTAAAGATGAGTTATCATCATTGGAGGCATCTTATTGTAGGCAATTGAAATAAATGCATGTCACTAGTGGAGGTTTTTATTGCCTTGTTCTATTCTGGTTCCTGCTTTGTCAAAGGGCCTAGGTGAGCCTACAAAGGCTAGTTTTGGTGGTGTTGAAGATGTTACAAAACAAGTTAGACCTAAAATCATAGAAAGGAAGTCATTTTGAGAGATCTACAATCTCTTAAAATCCATGCAGACTTGGCAAAAAATAGAGTATAATAGAAGAAAAAGATTCTCAACTAGTTGAGCGTAAGGCTAAATCTTATTGGTACAGTCAAATTAGTCCAACATTTGCTAAGAGTTTTTCTTATTTTGTTGGGGGGTTTGTGTGCAAGTTGAGAATGTAGTGTATTTTTGGGGTTAGAAAGCCTAAATTTATAGAATATTGGCACGAGATGAGTCTAAATGGACAATGGGGATTCATATGTCTTGTCTGACCCCAACTAGCTTTGGATTTAAGTGTAGCTGTAAGTCACATGGTCATTCACTTTTTTAATAAGTTGAATAATATTATTAATGGTTGGAAGAACTCTCATATGCTAGCAACCAAGCAGTATACCAATAAGTAAAAAATCTGCAGCAAAATATGATTTTCTACAAAAGAAAACACCCAACCATCTATACAAATATGAATTTCATGGGTGCACTAAAAAGAAAACAGACATGAGAAGCTTCTCTTCTGATGTACAAAACAATTTATATATTAGCATCCTTGTCTACTTCTACTTGTCCCAAAAATAACATCCTTCGGTACTTTTCTTTGTCCAAACTGTAATGATTATCTGGAAAAATAACTAAGGTAAACCAGACCCTGTTCTACATATGTTTTTCGTGCTCGCTTTGGGTTTTTTAAGTATCACTAAGTTTTTCCCCTCTTGTAGGAAGCAAGGGGATGGAAACACACAGCCATTGTTGCAGGATCAACAACAGCAGCAGCAGCAGATAGTTCCATTGCAAGACAGCTACATGCAGAGTAGAGCTGAAGCTTTTCAAAATGCCGAGTCTACTATCCATGAGCTGGGCAGCATTTTTAATCAGCTTGCTACCTTGGTTTCTGAGCAAGGGGAGGTTGCAATCAGGTTTGTATAACAATTGTTTTTGCACTCTGAAAATAAACAGATGTAGGAGATGATGATGAAGATAATAATTTTTATTTTTTTTTCAGTTTCAAAAATAATAATAATAATAATAATAATTCTTATTATTATAATAATAATAATTCTTATTATTATAATAATAATAATAACAATAATAATAATAATAATGGTGATGATAATAGAAGGATTTAGGAGATTTCAATGCATCGTATTTTCATAGTTATCTTTGTACAACCAGTTGGCACCAATGTAGTCTCCTAGTTGTAAAGACGTAAAGTTAAATATATGAGATGGCAAGTGATGAATATTTTGTTTGTTAATTTCTATCAACTAATCACTAGTTTTGGATGATCACTCTGATCAATAGTTTGATGTCTTCTCTTTCTCTTGTTGATATCCTATTTTGCATGGTAAAAGTTGATTTTTAACCTTTGCATGAACTTTTGGACTGAGAAACATTAACGTTCCAATATGGGATCAGATCATGCATCCACCATCTGCTAGTTAGAGGGATTAGAAGACCTAGTGTCTTTTATATTATTTCATGTTTATGTTGGAAGAAACGGGCTAATTCTTCTCAGTTCTTAAAATAATAATTGGTAAGTTCTTTGTTAAATTGAGCTTTTGAAGTTCCTCAAGGGTCATTAACATGATATGCATATCTACTTGTGGTTGACATAAAATGTGATGTGTGTACTCTCAATGAACCCCACCATCACATTTTATTTAACGCCTCTTTCTATTGTGACATGTAGTGTAATTCTTGGCCTTGGCACACTTCTTTTCATTTACAAGTAAATCATTTGTACATAATTGATAATATTTGAAGTCAAATTTGCGTTGGATGTTATAAATGTTCTACAAATATGATGTTTGTGCAATCAGCAAGTAAGGTTTACTGCTTTTACCCCCAGATTGGTTAGAGAAAAATCTGAAAGTTGATGGAAGTTTTTTGTACTTTGAGCTATCTGTATTTAGAATCTTGTAAAATGGTGCCTTCCACTTAAAGTTTGTTGCTTCTCCTGTTGTCTGTAGGGTGTAAAACCTTGTACTACCTAATTGTTGATATTAAACTGATACTCACAAGTCACAATATAGTCATTAGTTATGACTTCTGATCAAGATACAGTGGGGTGGGGGTGGGAGTGGGTAACAAATTCTTTTAGCAGTAAAAGTAATATCTTGGTTTCTGTCACAGGATTGATGAGAACATGGATGACACACTAACAAATGTGGAAGGGGCACAAGGGGCTCTGCTCAAGTACCTCAATAGCATCTCGTCAAATCGGTGGCTAATGATTAAGATATTCTTTGTGTTGATTTTCTTCCTTATGATTTTCCTATTTTTTGTGGCATAGTGAACCAATGGCGACATTCGACAAAGTGTGATGTAGAAAGACAAATAATCGTGTATTTTAGATAAGTTGCTCCGACCCCTGGTAACGCTACTGTAATGTTTCAAAAGTTCGAATTTGGTACCAACTCCATTTTGAGGCATCTTTTTACCCTTGTCTTCCATCAGATGTGGCTTATTGTAGTTATTATACCCTGTAAGGTTGCTGGGACCACTATAAGTTGAAACTTGAAAGCTGTAACGTTTGGTTACCAGAACAAGGGAAAAATTATGCTGGTATAAATATCTGTATTATTTTATACTTTGTTTGGTTATTATTTGAATTTTGTATAGTTAATACAAGGTATTAGAAGTTTGTATTTTTTTATGCTCTGTTGGTTAACATTGGCAATCTGTATAGTTAAAAAATGCCATATTTTATACAATTCATTGAATTGTTTAATTGAATGTGGAAGCTCAGCTTGACTGCATTCTACATTTTAAAAAAGTCATGCCAAAAGTGAGAACTGTCATATGTTTTTGAAAATATTTTCTCGAAATAATTCATAAACACAGCCTTAATCATTGAATTAGTTGGAGTCAACTAAGAGTAACATCTTCCTTTCTTGTATCTTCTCATAATGAATTAATTACTTATAAAGAGTGCTGTTTTAAGTCTATTGTTTTTCTTAATTAATGTAAATTCATGTATATGTAGAACAAAATAGAGGTAGTTGATACTGTTTCTTCGACGAAATTGTGTTACGTAACAAAGAAGCGGACAGTTTTCATACGCATGCATTTCTAGAAACAGCACAAAGTTTTGTGTGGAGGATATGAGTGAACACAATTCTATCCCCTTACAGATAGGTGTCTCTTGTGAAATAGACGGATTTTGCTAGGATCGAAATAGTTAAATGTCATGCAAAAGTTAAAACGTAAATCTTAAGCGATAAAAAATCGAGAAAAGGAGAAAAGAGAGAATAATTTAACATAGTTTTGTTATTGATCTACATACATATGAAATGAAATAAACAATCTACTAATATAAAAGAGAATATAAAAGTATTGAGAGAACTAATTCTCCCCTAAACAAGCCCTCTTCAAACTACATCGTGATTTGTTGGATCCTCAATTTATAAAAGTTCAAAGTTTCTTTTTCTAACAAAAGAATTAGCCCAATATAAATGGTTATATATATATACATATATATGTTAGTGGATTATTTTCTTTTGTACAAACACACACACTATGATCCAAAGGTTTCAACAAATCTATCTTGCATGTTAGTCATATTTTACCTATTTAATTTGTGGCTATATCAAGTTCAATGAAAAATTTCACTGCATCAGTTATTTATTAGCGAGAAAATACATAATTACGCCATGAAATTTATACCTTTTTTTGAAGTAGACACCTAAAGTTTGCGAGAGACCTATTACTCCAAGAATTTACTTTTAACTATGATAAATACACCCTTTTAACCCATTTTCAGAGTATGTGCAATTTCACGTTTGAGAGGCGCGTGAATCAGTACTAAGAATTAACCCCTATACCAATGTTTTAGTGCCATGTGGTGTCACCAATTTAATTTTTTTCTTTATTAAATAGACCAATTTCCATCTTCCACAAACCCCCATTGATGGCCATTGAAGAGCTCTCCATGTGCATCCATTTTTTTTTTTATCTTCTGTCAATCCAATAATTCGATCTATAAACGTCGTGAGATGCCATATGAACTTCTGGAGTTGGCAGAGTTCTCAAAAAGTCTCTTCTCTATATCAATCAAAAAACTCTGTTTGCAAATTCACTGCTTCATCCTCTAAGCACCCAACAATCTAATTAGCCAATTTTGGTGACGCCAAATAGGAATGAGTTGAAGAATACACCTTGGACTGCAACGACTAATGCATGTTTGTACCATTTAGTGTTTGATAACTGATAAATCGATGAAGGTCATATGATGTATCCGTCGTTCTTTCCCTGTTTCTTCGAAGAGGGTTTTGATCACATTGAGCCCGTATTGCTTACTTAACTTGATCACATTCTTGTGTACCCATAAACAAAGAAGATGGCATTTGCGCTGCCACTATGAAACTCTCCAATAATGGAGCATCTTCTATCAGTCACTGTTAAAGTTCTACAAACATCTGCAATGGAGTTTCTAAAATTCTCCATCACAATGTTCTTCTTCGTCATGATTTATGTACAAAATGTTTAAGATAAAAAAGGAAAATTGTCAAGATTTTGAATGGGTCTGGGTTTTACCCAACCCTTTATTAAAAGGCTAGGAAAAAATAATGTTACATTGTTTCATATGAGGCGAGACACACTCACTGGTAATGAGATTGCAGATGCTGTTAAAATGGTGTATTTATTGTGATTCGAAATAATTTCGTGGGGTAATATGACTTTTACAAACTTAAAGTGTCTACTTCAAAAAAAATATAAAATTTCATGGGATGATTATGTATTTTTCTCATTTATTAGCATAATTCTATGTGTGCATGTGAAAGGACAAACTTAGTAAGGACATCAATATTGAACAATTATAATTTTCTCCCATAACTTGAAATTCAGAGTATATTTTTGTAGCCAAAAATATCAATCACCCTCTTTTATAACATCACATTGAAATCTTTATTGTTGTTAAAGGTTAATAAAATGTTGAAATTATCACATACTCTAGACTTTTAACTTTTAACTGATCGTTGTTGTAAGATAATTTTTTTACAAATATTGACCTAACCATTGTTAATTTGGAGCCTTAATTTTAGAAATCGATCAATAATTGTTGTCTCTACACAAATTGACCATGCCTTCATAGTAGTTTTATGTCTTGAAAATCATAGCCGACATCTCATTATAAACGACTCTTCTAGCTACTATCAGAATTTGTCTACTTCAATTAGCTGAATTTGGAGGGTACAATAGAATGGTAACATACGAAGACCTACCTGCTTGGAAACTTGAAGAGATTGGAGAATCTAAAAGGGGTAGATTCTGAATTTTAGATGTTAATTGAGGGACAACGGACAATGACCGCATCGAAAACGACAAGAAAGAGAAATAAATAACTACTAGTAACGATCATAAACGGATATTAAAAAGTAACAAACAAAATAGTATTAAACTCAAGTTTTTATATGGTAAGCCAAATCTATAAAATTTGTAAATTTCAAAATAAATCACTAAATAGTCTTCAAAATGTTCACTTATTTTGATTCTTATAATGTTTTCCTATTTAGAAAGGTTCTCATAATTTAATGGGATAATTGTATGAAATAACAAACTATTAATTCAAATTAAATGTTATAGCCATAGTTTATTTTATTTGTAATTCGTAGTAAACATCCCATTTTTTTTGCCATATGATTCGGTATACAATTAGTCATTTTATATATTTCGGTATAAAATGTGTTTGTGTTTGTATAAAGCGAGAAAAAAGTGTATATACAAATACAAATACATATATTTTCGTCCTATACACTTATAATTATACAAATACAGATCTTATTATACAAATTACAATGTATAAATGAATTTATACAAAATTGAACTATTTGTATAAAATTGAATGTATCTAGCGAATTATACAAATCAAAAGCTCCATAGCAAACATAAAATTTGTTATGGAGCGCAATTATGTAAACTATAACTATAACATACAAATATAAGTTTTATGTTTGCTATATGTGAAGACAAACATATAAGACATCATTAGTCAGGTAGGAAGTGCAAATAATCTTTTGTATGATAACTTAGACAAAAAAACATAGGTGATTTTCGTAATTTGAACTTTATAAATTTTAATTCCGAATTTAATTATAACTCATTTGATATTTTTGATTCGAAATTAATCATCAATATTTATTGAATGAAGTTATTTTTAGCACACATGCATAATTCAAAAAAGAAAAATATTGTATTTAAAGAACCATGTGAGTTGAGTTCTACGCCCATTTTTGAAACCAAATACATAGAAGATATTACACTTTGTTCAGAGTGACAATTTTTTTTTTAATTTACAAATATATAAAGTTCATTCATTTTTACTCATACTTTTCTAACGAATCTACTAAATAATTATAATTTTTTGATAATGAAGTAATTCAAATTCTGAATCCGCTAAATTGAATAATTATAAATTTTTGATAATGAACTAATTCAAATTCTGAATCCGCATAAATTGTATAGTTTGTGGAAAGGTTATGCTACATTTTTTTTTTTGGTAATTAAGAAAGCATGTTGCATAATTGCGCAATTATACATAAAATTGGTGTCTCTTTGATAAAAATTATAAAATATATTGATATATATATAAAACCTCCATTCTTCTTTCTCAGTCTCTGTTATCTGCTGATCCAACAACTTCTCCAAACCCTAAATTGAAGAAGAAATATTGGGTTTACTTGGTTGAAATGATGGGGAGTAAAGAAGGGTCTGTGATGGTGAAGAATTCCAATGTATTTGCGGCGCTTGATACTCTGAGGAAGAAGAAGAAATCTGATAAGGAGAAGAGTAAAGGGTCGTCGAAGAAGGAACAGGAGCCGGAAGTTTTGTGGGCTCCGGCGCCGTTGACGGTGAAATCTTGGGCAGATGTTGATGATGAAGATGATGACGATTACTATGCAACCACTGCTCCTCTTCAGTCTTTTGTGGGTTCCAATGAATCTGAAAAAAAACCTGAACCTGTTGAGGTATTGCACTTTTGCCTGCTTTTTATGTTCTGTTCTTTGGGTATGAAAAATTTCTGCTTTTTATGTGTGTTAGATTGTATTTTTCACCTTTTTGATAATCGAAAATTTATTTCCTTGAAAAATTGAACGAACGATGCATCTGAAAAGTGGTTGAAGAAGCCAACTAAACTAACAAAGATAGTGTTAATCACTCTACTGTGTTTCAACCTCGAATTGGTTGGGGCCTGCTGTTTTAGGACCTGAAGAATTCCATTAGGAAGTAGTTTGCTTTCCGAGTAAGTTAGTGGCAAAAACACTAGGTGATTCTTCCCATTTCTGTTGTTGCTGGAAATCTGTTGTTGGTGGATGGTGACAGATATCCCGTGGAATTATTCGAGTTGCGTGAAAGTTGACTTGGACACCACGGTTATTATTATGGTTTTCGGTGCAATATATATAACAAAAGAAACTTTATCAAACTAAGGAAATGAATCACATAGTCATTGAATAATTTTTGAAAGAAATCAAATATCATAATCATACATTGTGTGGTAAAATAACCTAAAAAGAAACAATGATTCTATATAGAGAAGAATATATTTTAATTAACTATTTTTCCGCTAATTTCTCAAATCAAATTGAA